GAGTGTCTGCCCCTGGTGGTCAGTGCACATCATAGTTACCGATCAGCCGGTCGAATGGTCGGTCAGTCACTTAGGCTTTTATATATATAGATTAAGCCTTCCAATATAAAGACAATATGTAACTCTCCCTTTATTTAGATATTTCTTGTTTATTCAGGTTTTTATTTTTTAATTTTTAAAATTAAAATTTTTCTTTAATTTATTTTTCTTCAACACCATTTATTCCCCTCATGACCTCTTCCATCTCTTCACAATCACCACAATAATCCTTTCTAATTTTCAGTGTTAGGTTTTTTGCATTATTAAATTTTTTAATTTTAATTTAGATTATAGGTTTATTTACAAGTATTTAGACTTTTTGCATTATTAAATTTTAATTTTAGATTTTTCCCTGCTAACATACAGTAATACAATGAAGAGTTTTATACTTTTTTCTTTAGCAATAATTTTTTCTTTTCATTCTTGCTTCACATTACTGGCTAATACTATCTTAGTGAAATGTTGGAAAAATGTGGTAAGAGCAGACATGTTTAACTTGTTCCAGACCTTTGGGGGAATACTTCAGCTTTTAATTCTTAAATATGTTGTTAGTCATAGGTTTCATGCAGATGTCCTTTATCTACAGGAGAGGATTCCCTTTAGTTTGTGAGGTTTTTGTGTTTTTTTAATGGGAATTGCATTTTCTCATTTTTACATCTGTTGAAGATGATCATATATATATATACATATATATATGTGTATATATATATATATATATATATATATATATATTTAAGTATAGTATTATATTGAATAACACTGATTAACCTTCAAGTCTTAACCAACTTTACATTCTTGGATGAGCCCTATTTGGTCATGATGTACTGTCATTTTCATATATTTATGGATTTGGTTTGCTGACAATTTTAAAGGATTTTTGCATGTTTATCCATGAGAGGATGTTGATCTGTAGTTTTCTTCTAGTATGTTTGATACTGTATCAAAATAGTTGTTAGGAATGGAAATATGTTCTCCCAAAATTCATATGAAGTGCTGATCTCAATGTGACTACCTTTAAAGAGGTTATTAAGGATAAGTAACTTCTTAACAGCAGGGACATAATGTAATAGGACTAGTGTCCTTATAAGAAGAGGAAAAGACATGGTGGGTGTGCATGCACAAGGGAAAGGCCACATGAGAAGCAACCATCTAAAAGCCAACACAGGGGAGTTTTACCAAACATTCAAAGAACTGAAACCTATCCTCCTCAGACTATTCGAAAAAATACAAGAGGAAGGCACACTTCCAAGCTCTTTCTTTTAGGACAGCATTCCCCTAATCCCAAAACAGATAAAGACATTACAAAGAAAGAGAATTACAGGCCAATATCCATGATGAACATAGATGCTAACATCCTCGACAAAATTCTAGAAAATCGGGCCCTGACTGGTTTGGCTCAGTGGATAGAGCGTCGGCCTGCGGACTGAAGGGTCCCAGGTTCGATTCCGGTCAAGGGCATGTACCTTGGTTGTGGGCACATCCCCAGTTGGGGGTGTGCAGGAGGCAGCTGATCGATGTTTCTCTCTCATCGATGTTTCTAACTCTCTATCCCTCTCCCTTCCTCTCTGTAAAAAATCAATAAAATATATTTAAAAAAAAATTCTAGCAAATTGGACCCAGCATTACATTAGAAAGATCATACACCACAACCAAGTGAGATTTATTCTGAGGATGCAATATCCACAAATCAATAAATGTCATATATCACATAAACAAATTGAGAAACAAAAATCACATAATCATACCAATTGATGCAGAAAAAGCATTTGACAAAATCCAACATCCTTTCTTGATAAAAACTCTCAGCAAAGTGGGAATAGAGGGATCATACCTCAACATAATAAAAGCCTTATATGATAAACATACAGCCAACATCATACTCAATGGGCAAAAACTAAAACAATTTGCCCTAACAATCAGAACAAGTCAGGATACCCACTTTTACTACTCCTATTCGACATAGTACTGGGAGTGCTAGCCATAGTGATCAGACAAGAAGAAGAAATAAAAGGCATCTAAATTGGAAAAGAAGAAGTAAAACTGTTGGTTTCACAGATGACATGATATTGTACATAGGAAACCCTAAAGACTCCATAAAAAACTAAACTAGACTTAATAAATGAATTTGGCAATGCAGAAGGTTACAAAATTAACACCAAGAAATCTATGGTCTTTTTATACACCAATAATGAACTCACAGAAAAAGTAACTATAAAAACAATCCCATTTACTATTGCAACAAAAAACATTAAGATACCTAGGGATAAACTTAACTAAGGACGTAAAAAGACCTGTACTTGGAAAATTACAGGACATTGAAAAAAGAGATAGAAGAAGACATAAACAAATGGAAGAATATACTGTGTTCATGGATTGGTAGAATCAACATCATTAAAATATCCATACTGCCCAAGGCAATCTATAGATTCAATGTAATCCCAATTAAAATACCAATGGCATATTTCACAGACCAAGAACAAACTCTCAAAAATTCATATGGAGACCCCAAATAGCCACAGCCATTGGAGAAAGAAAAACAAAGTTGAAGGGATCACAATACCAGATATCAAGCTGTATTACAAAGTCACTGTTCTCAAAACTGCCTGGTACTGGCACAAGAACAGACATATAGACCAATGGAACAGAACAGAGAAACCAGAAATTGACCCAAGCCATTATGCTCAATATTTGACAAAGGAGGCAAGAGCATACAATGGAGTCAAGATAGTCTCTTCAATAAATGGTGCTGGGAAAATTGGACAGATACATGCAAAAAAAACAACAACAAACAAAAAAATGAAACTAGACCACCAATTACACCATACACAAAAATAAACTCAAAATGGATAAAGGACTTAAACCTAAGATGGGAAACCATAAAAATCTTAGAGGAATTCATAGGCAGCAAAATAGCAGACATATGTTGTTGCAATATCTTTACCAATACACATCCCAGGGCAATAGAAACTAAGGGGAAAATAAACAAATGGGATTACATCAAAATAAAAAGCTTCTGCACAGCAAAAGAAATCATCAACAAAACAATAAGAGAGCCCAGTGCATGGGAGAACATATTTGCCAATATTATCACCGATAAGGGTTTAATCTCCAACATTTACAGGGAACTCATACAACTTAACAAAAGGAAGATAAACAATCCAGCCAAAAAATGGGCAAAGGACCTAAATAGACACTTTTTGAAAGTAGACATACAGAAAGCCAAGAGACATATGAAAACATGCTCAAAGTCACTAATCATCCAAGAGATACAAATTAAAATGACAATGAGGTACCATCTCACACCTGTCAGAATGGCTACATCAACAAATCAACAAACAACAAGTGCTGGCTAGGAAGTGGAGAAAGAGGAACCCTCGTGCACTGCTGGTGGAATGCAGACTGGTGCAGCCACCGTGGAAAACGGTATGGAGTTTCCTCAAAAAATTACAAATGGAACTCCCATTTGACCCAGTGATCCCACTTCTAGGAATATATCCCAAGAAAACAGAAACACCAATCAGAAAGGATATATGCACCCCTTTGTTCATAACAGTGCAATTTACAATAGCTAAGATTTAGAAACAGCCTAAGTGCCCATCAGCAGATGAGTGGATTAAAAAACAGTGGTACATCTACACAATACTACCTGCTATAAAAAAGAAAGAACTCTAACAATTAGCATCAGCATGGGTGGACCTAGAGAGTATTATGCTGAGCGAAATAAGCCAGTAGGAGAAAGATAAATATCATATGATCTCACTCATTTGTGGAATATAATAAACAACATAAACTGGTGAATAAAAATAGATCCAGAGACACAGAAGTATCAAGCAGACTGTCAAACCTCAGAGGGAAAAAAGAGGGTGGGAGGGTGGTGGTAAAAGATCAACCAAAGGACTTGTATGCATGCATATATGCATAACCAATGGACTCAGACACTAGCAGGGTGAGGGCCTGTGCTGGGAGTTGGGAGTGTCCAGGGAGAGGTCAGTGGTGGAAAAAGGAGACATTTGCAATACTTTAAATGATAAAGAATTTAAATTTAAAAAAAAAATAAGTAAAAGCCAAGGATAAGTTCCTCAGGAGAAACCAAACCTCCCGGCACCTTGATCTTGCATTTCCAACCTTCAGAACCGTAGTCTTTCATTGACATTTCTTAATATATATATTTATAAAAATGTATATGTTATAATAGTTTATAATTCCTATTTGATTTCCTTTTAAACACATGCAAGAATGTACTTTTTAGTGTTCAAAGTATTTACTATATTTTTATTGATTTTGTAATATGCTGTTACAACATTTCTAAATTATAATATTTAAGGCTGCCATCATATGGGAAACAGTAGTCTGTAAGATCAGAGAAAAATCTCTCTCTGGGCTTCTATCTGGAAGATTCTGTGCAGAAGAATTAACAGGGTAATTGGCAACACTCTTGTAATACAACCAGCAATGGGTTTTGTAGGGATGACTCATATTGTGTTTTTCAATAAAGACTATAACAACTTTCTATATACATTTACATATTGCTAATTTATTCATTAATAATAATACAAAACATTATTTAAGTATGTGAGACGTATGTAACATTTTTTATCTAAGAAGTAGACTCTGAAACAGAATTCTTCAATAGATTATAATGCATACTTTTTGTAGGGTGTATATATTTAGGACTTACCTAAAGAATACGTTCTTGAATAATATAGAAGTAGGAACAAAGGGACTCCTCAAAAATAAATTTCCTGAGGATAATCCTAGAAGAAGGGTCATGTTTGCTATGTTAGTTTTTCAAAGCAGGGAGAAAAGTGATTATAACCTAGGAGTTAAAGATGAAATAAATCTAAAATAGGAAAGGTAGTTGTAAATTCCCTTCACCCAGCTTGACTTTTCTCATTCAGACTCAGTCTTCCTTTCTGTGTAACCCTTTGCATTTGATCAATTTTTTCCTTCTCTTTGTTCAGGAAAAGGTCAGCAGGAAGGTGCCTCTACCACAGAAGACCTGAATTCCTGGATGCATTTGCCCTCATCCAGTCAGGAAACGGCACATAGATCAGTGACTAATGAGGTAAAACTAGAAAAAGAGGCACCTCTGATAATTAATTGTGGCTGGTACCCCAAATCACTGACTAAGCTCGCTAAGAAATGGGTTTAAAAGAGTGGGACTTTTTCAAACTCTAAAGAAAACTCTTTTAGATGCTGTCCTGGAAATTTTAATTATTTGGGTATCTATTTCATTTTGTTAGTAACAGATACAAAATAAATTTCACATAAAATTTGAAGCAATTTTAAATATATTGATGATGAAATTTTAATTGATAGAGAAAGTGTGGCACAGTGTCTCCAATCTATGGTGGTAAAAAATCTGGGGCAAAAACTCTCACCTTGATATATTACCTTCCTTGTGGAGATACCACCAGGTTTAGAGTAAAAATAGGAAAATTTTCATCTTGTGGGTGCCTTGCAATTTTCTCTTACCTCACTCATCTACTGGAGCTTTAGGACTTCCATCATGGTGCGGTCCTCATAGTCACTTCTTGTAAATTCCAGCATGAATAGAGATAAAAATCAGTATTAAGAATAAGCACTGCTTCCCTTACTTTCCAATTGGCTTCCACCTCCACTCAGGGATGACAGTTGTGCTGCTTCTTTGAAAAACAATTTCGAAGATTGGTAGATTTTTGTGTGACATGTCAGGTGGCCTTATCAATGGCACCAGTGCATCTCTCACCAGCAGTGTCTGACTCTTAGTGTGCTGCTGGGCTGTCAGCCCACTGTTGATACTTTTCTCTGATCTGAATGGCAATTTGGAAGTGAATAATTTCACAGAATATCCTGAGTAGATCCTTTGTATAACTGCAATCTACAGCTGAGTATATTTTATTCATTCATTCATTCATTCATTCATTCATTCTTTTTACTTATCTAAAGTGAGTTTTGATATACTTTAAAGTTTCATTTTAGAAAAGAGATCTTAGTACACTTCTGCATGGCTTTCAGAGTATGTTGGGAAAATCAGCTGATTTTTTTAAAATCAGAATTTATTTGCTTTTTTAATATTTCACAAAAAATGAAATAGCCACTTGATGGCCTTTCAATTGTGATGATGTTCCTAGGAATTGTATAGATGTGTAGATGTTAAATTTGGAAGGTAGACTAAGATTTTTTATTTATTTTAGAGTGAAGAAACTAAGTCCTAGAGAGAACTGAAATGATTCATCTGTGACATACAGCTCTTCATTATGGAGAAAAGCCTAGAAACCAGGCTACTATCTTATAGAATTATCTTGTTTTCATAAAATCCTTGGCATATGCAGTGCAGAAAAGCTAACTCAGCCTGCTCAGAAACATTTGTCTAGTCTAGCCTTTTCTCTAATTTGACATTAATTTGATTTGGTGAACAATTTATGAGAAGATCTGGCATCTTGTGCCTTCTTGACATTGTTATTAGCCAAGTCACATGTCATTCATCAGACGTATTAGAGTCCTAATGAGCCTTCAGTCTGAACTGCAGCCATCTAGAGCAGTTTGCTTCTTTGATAAATGTACTCAAGTTGATTTGAAGCATGACTTGAAATAAGTCTCGGGTTTAAATTGTGCTAGCACTTCTTACTCAGGTAATGTCACTTTCTTTGAGTAAATGAGTTGTATGCAAATGCCTTTTTAAATGTGCTGTGCTAGAGATAGGAGGGATCCTGTTGATGTGATAGCAACCACCTCACTTATCCTCTATCTCATCGCATTCACAATCTCCACATTTCTGTTTTAATTATTCAGAAATTAATTTTTAGGGATTTGTTTTATGAACTATTAATAAACTAGTTTTCAGGACTAAGTTAACTCTATAGAACTCATGTAATTTATTAGTCACCCATATAGTTTAATGAAAAGAAATCTTTGGGAAACATTTTTCCTTGATATTTTAAAGTAAAATGAAGAAAATACACAAAACAACACTAAGAAAAGAGAGCTGTTGTAACTATAGTAATAGCAGACAAAGAGACAAAAGCAAAAAGCATTAGGCATTACGAGGTCACTATGTAATACTGGAAGGGTTAGTTCACAAGGAAGATATAAAACTCTAAATTTATAAACACCTAATTACAGCTTCAGGATATATAAATTAATATTTAACAGAACTACAAGGAGAAATAATTAATAACTTTACTAGGATAGTAGACCATTTAAAAATATATCCTATCAGTAGATTAGACAATTAGTTAAGAGTGTAGAAATTACCAAAAAACAATTAGCAAGCTAGGTATAATAAACATAAATAGAACTAGTTTTTAAAATTAAAGAACACACATTCTTTTTAAGCATACAAAATTTATCAGATATCAAATCAAAATATCTCTCAGCAAATGTCAAATAATCTTATAGTACTGACTGTGGTCTCTGACATAAAGAAACTCAGTAAGAAGTCAACCACAAAAGGGTAAAATGTACATTTAAAATTTAAAAAGACATACTTCTAAACTCATGGGTCAAAGAAGAAATTACAAAGGATTTATAAAATGTTTAGACTGGAATAAATACAAAATTATAAGAAAACTTGTTTGCTCATTCATTATGCAGTGGTTAGCAAATATAATGGTATAATCTATATCATTACATTTACAATGGCACCAGCTAGTAAGTACATAGGAGTAAATATAAGGGAAGTTGAGAATTGCTGTTGAGAATGTCATAAAATATTATAATAGCTATATCATATAATGGATAATAAGACTTAATACAATAAAGATAACAGGTATCCTCAATTTAAACAATAATTTCATAATTTCAAAGCTTGTGTTGTGTGTTTGTTTGTGTGCATGTGATTTGATTGGCTGATTTAAAAACTTGGAAAAACATAAGACCAAGATTAGGTAAGACAGTATTAAGTAAGAAAGGAAAAGTGTGTATATGGTAGGAATGCTGGGTAGTTGTTTATATCTTTCCATTAATGTGCTTAGTTTTAAAATCTCTTTTGTTGGGTTCATGTTCTGGAATGATGGTTGTATATATGCCCACAAGAGGTATTCCAGGACTAGGAAGTTTTATGGAATCAATCAAAACACATACACCTGCAAGAGGGGAAAAGATTAATATGTTTTACAAAAATAAAAGTCACCAAATAACACTTCAAAAAGATGAAAAGACAGAACACAGGCTGTGGCTGGATATGCTGCTTGAGAAATAGAGAGACATGAGGTGAGGGTGGGAAATTAGGCAGCGTCCGTACCAGGGAAGGCTGCCCGGGAAGCTGGGCCTGCTCCTTCTGCTCAGGATGCTTCTTTGCGTTGCCCTTCCTAGTATTTTTTAGGTACATGGCTATTGTGTATCACCATACTCTGTCACTGCATTAACACTTATCACCAGCTGTAATTTTACATGCTTGCTGGTGTATTTCCTCTCTCCCCATGGGAATACGTAGCTCCACGGGGCAGGACACAAGCCTCTGTTGTTCAGTGTTTCATCAGGAGCATTTAGAACAGTGTATTCACATCATAGGCCCCCAGAAAAGAATCGTCAAATGAATAGATTAATTGAAACAGAATTGAGAGCCAAAATATTGATTACTGAATCTTAATTTTAATGACGTTTCCCCTTCCATTATATTCAGTTCTGTTTACTGGTGGGCTAGGTACTGTACCGGAGACTGCGAATGCTACAAGTGGCCTAAGGGCCATCAGGCAGTACTAACTCTCATGGCAGAGACATGCTTAGAATTACTGTATTAGATTACGCAAGTTCTAAAATAAAGATAAATACATTGTTGGGAATTTTATATTTACAATAAACTCAACACTCATTGTAAGAATTTCTGGGCTGAAGTCATAATCTTTTTTTTATTTTTTTTTTAAAGAAAAATGAAGCTTAACCCTGGCTAGTGTGGCTCAGTTGGTTGAGCATTAGCCCGTGCACCCAGAGGTTGCTGGTTTAATTCTTCATCAGGGCACTTGCCCAGGTTGTGGGCAGTGTTGTTCAGGAGGCAGCCAATTGATGTTTCTCTCTCCTTGTTTCTCTCTCTCCCCCTCTGTCTCTCTTTCTAAAAAATCAATGAAAAAATGCTATTTAAAAAGAAAGAAAAGAAATATGAACTTATTTTTTACTTACTTTGGAAAATAACTTGGGTGATTCAATAAAAATCACTTGTATATGCATAGTACTCTATAGTCTGTCTTGACAGATTGGAAAATATTTACTAGGGAGAGACACATTTCAAGTGATTTTCTAGGAGTAAAAATCATGTGATTATGGTTTGATTCTGTTATTTAAGATCTTATTTTTAAAACTATTAAAAAAATTTAAATTATAATTGACATACAATATTAAAATAGTTTTCAGGTGTACAACATAGTGATTAGACATTTATATACCTCACAAAGTGATCACCATGGTGTCACCATCTGACACCATGCATAGTTATTACTATACTAGAGGCCCAGTGCACAAAAATTTGTGCACTCGGGGGTTGTCCCTCAGCCCAGCCTGCGCCCATTCACAGTCCAGGACCCCTTGGGGGATGTCCACCTGTCAACTCAGGCCCACTTCCTAGGGGATCAGGCCTAAGCTTGCAGTCAGACATCCTTCTAGTAGCCAGGGAGCCCTTGGGGATATCCGACTAAAGGCTTAGGCCCCCAAGGGATCAGGTCTTAACCGTTAGTTGGACATTCTTAGTGCTGCCACGGAGGTGGGAGAGGCTCCTGGCACCACCACTGCGCTGGCCAGCCATGAGCCAGCTTCTGGCTGAGTGGCACTCCCCATATGGAAGTGCACTGACCACCAGGAGGCAGCTCCTGCATTGAGCACCTGCCCCCTGGTGGCAGTGCGCATCATAGCAACCGGTCATTCTGCTGTTCAGTCAATGTGCATATTAGCCTTTTATTATTAGTAGTAGTAGTAGCCCGGTGCACAAAATTCGTGCACTGGGGTGGGCGGTGGGGGAAGGGGCCCCTCAGTCTGGCCTTCACCCTCTCCAATCTGAGACCCCTCAGGGAATGTCCAACTACCTGTTTGTGCCCACACTTTTAACAGATAACAGCTCCATTGTTGTTTCTTTCTTATGCTTAAAACCATTGG